TATGATGACCAAGGCGCGCATCACATTATAGGTCCATAAACGTATAAGCTATAAACGTTTTATTTTACTGATTCGTCATCCTTCGTGCAGAGCAAAACTCCTTGTAAACAATAACAGCAGATGTTTGACCGGTATTTTAGTGATTCTCTCGAGACTAATAGATACTATCATATCTAAACTGTAGTAGTGTAAACTGTTGACAGTTCAGACACTGTTAAATTCGTTTAGAGCGGATTTCGTATGACTGTGCAATAATCATGGTACTTTGGCGCTGTGACCATACCGTGCCGTGCCGTGCCGTGCCGTGTACGTGTCGTGTCGTGTCGTGTCGTGTCGTGTCGTGTCGTGCCGTGCCGTGCCGTGCCGTTGCACAGTCAGTGCGAAATCCCCTCTACTACTCCTTGTGATCGAAGTTGATGAGATGAGAAAAGCCAAAGAGAAACGAACTAGACCACTCGCTAACACATATGGGATGTGATGGGTCAACAAAACAAGAAATTTATTGACTATAGAACCTTTAATTAAGGAATATAAAATGGATCTCCGTGGTTAGGAAGAACACGAGAGAAGCGTAGGATACCAGGGACGTGAAGGGAGACGAATCTCTCACTCACAAATGTATTCAGTCGCTACCGTACTATTACATTGTAATATTTGATATATAGTTTATTGTATGGTTAGATATCGACAATACTATTTAGAGCCGCTACGGAAACTGGCAAACACTAGTATCGTTAATAAAGACAATGTTGCGTACAGTTGGTCGGGATTCAATTGAACCATTTTTCAGTTGTCTAATTCAACGTTAGGAGTAAGTAATCTTAAAAGAATTGCTGGRAAAAGTAATTAATAATAAAAGAAGAAAGAAAGAAAAAAAATTATATGTTATCCCTTGGGAATCGAACCGCGGCCACTTGGTCAGGACTACTACTTCTTAACCACTGAGCTACGATGGAAATTTCGATGTGTTCGTGGCTTATCCACAACCGAAGTTAGAATAATAGGAATTTAACGAAAAAAAAATCATAAATCGTTTACTTAAAATCATAATTGCTAAGTAATTACAGTTTGATTCATCGTACATGTATCGTCCCGTATCAATCAATCGAGTTACGTTGCCATTGGCGGCTTGTTTTTATTTTCTGATTGACCAAAAACAGCTCGAACGTTGGTGAAAACGCGATATTCGAATATCAACGTTTTTCAACTTTATTTCTGTGCTGTATGTTACGTCACCGGGTTTTCTGTTCCAGGAACTCGCGCATGCGCGTAATTAGGCATTCCATTAAATGGAGTTTGAGCACACGGCTTTGTCTAAATACACTACACCAATCAACTTTTTAACAACTTTTTCAAGCCGTAAATCTCAG